CATGGCTATTAATAATTGTGTTGAACATATTTGTACATAGTGATTTTCTTCTTTTCAAAATATTTTTCTTTAGGGTATATTCCTAGGAGGAGTATTTTTGCATCAAAGAAAAAAGATGAAGTTATTGTCATTATTTACAAATAACTTTCATAAATATTGCCTTCTTTTTATTTTATTTAAATTTTTTTTTTTTTTTCCAAGAGAGTCCACCTCACTCTGCCAGAAGGGAATTGCAAAGAAGTTGTTGCATTTTGTTTTCATGTAGGTGCAAGATTTTTATCTTGGCTAGTTGAAAAATAACATCCTTTATCTGATTATCTTTGATAGGAAAAACTTTTTTTGCACAATAACTTTTATTTTATTTTCTTTGGAAATTTCATGTCCCAAATTGGGATGATTCTCTTTATTCTATAAATAATATGTCTTGTAGCTAAGAGTGATGGATGATGGACGTGCTGGGCAGGATGGGAGAAAAAAGCATGAGAATTCACGTAGGGAGAACTAATAGGATGTAGAAGGATCATTCATATCTTGGTTGAATGAGCCATTGCTGTTTGTTGTTAAAGTACTAAGAAGGAGGCATCACTAAAATACTAAGTAGGACTTTTTTTTTAAATGACTTTGTGCTCTGGTGGTGTAGTGCCTAAGGCGTTTGATTGCTAACCAGAAGGTCTGCAGTTCAAACCCACCAGCCACACCTTGGAAGGAAGATTGGGCAATCTACTTCTATAGAAACCTGAGGAGGGGTCACTATGAGTCAAATTGACTCAGCAGTGATTTTGGTTTTGTATTTTTTGGTAGTCAAACATATACATTAATGTATATAATGATGGTCTAATAAATATTTATTGAATGAATGCACATGTAATAAGCAGATATTATGTTTAAGTGCATATGTGTGCATATATACCTGTATATATGCATGTATATACAGCATTTTATCTTACCAGCAATGTATGTTTCTTTCGATATATTTCTTTCTGTTCTCCAAGTTAAATTTCTATTTTTAAACTTTGAATACAAGGATTCCCTTTGTTTGATAGACCCTATGAACTGCAAAGCTATCCAAGAGGTTTTTGTTTGTTCGTTTTGTTTTTTCATCCCATCCTATGAAGTCTGAGTCAGACTAAATACATTAAATAGGAATTTAATTTCATAAAGCAAACAGTATTAATTAATCGACATTACAATTATCTTGAAAGTCAAACAACAGGGCAATATATTCTTTCCTAGAACTCTGGTAGCATAGTGCCTAAAGCACTTGACTTCTAACCAGAAGGCTGGTGGTTCAAA